AGAGAGAGAGAGAGAGAGAGAGAGAGAGAGAGAGAGAGAGAGAGAGAAGTGAACTCGAAAAAAGCGTACTGAAATAAAATAATAAAACAAAAATTAAGATATGAGAAAGAAGAAGAAGAATAAGAAGAAAAATAAAATAATATCTATAGTATATGTAAGATGAAAACACGCGCACCGTTGAAGCATATATATGAACAATAGCCAAGGTGCAAAATATGATTATTCTCTCCTTTCTTCTCACTTCTCTTTTCGATCGTGTGCCTTTTTCTGGTTTGTTTGTTTGTTTTTTCATCATATTCTTGCTTCTGTCGGTGTGTCGATTTCCATCACCAGCATTTTCTCGAACACTGCGTCAACATCAAATTGAATTCGTTATCGTTTACTAATTATTATTAACCATATTATTGCTCTATAATTAACCATGGGCTGCAGCTAAAAAGGCAATAAAATTGAAATATAAGCAAAATCGAGTGAATAATATGAGCAAACAAACGATTGCAAGGCAATAACGTATATGATACTCTCTCGTATACTCGTAGAATGCTTTTAGGATTGGCGCGTACCGAATTCAAGCGAACAGCAAGTAGAGATACAGCATTCGAATTCGACGAAAAGAAATCGTGCGTATTTTGCATGCAATAATGAACTCATCAACGCGCATCGCAGAAAGCGACTCTTGCATCGTAGTCCCATAGTGCAATACATTGCACGTTACTTCTTGTTGTCGGCGTGTGTGTGTTTGTATTTGATCTCTTTACATTTATTTTTCTTCCCAACATGTTTGTAGACGTTTATTTTTTGTTTTATTTAATTTTGGCTTTGCGAACATTCATCTCCTAAACTCGGCGCACATTTTCATATTGGAGCGTATGAGCAAAAAAGGAAAAGCGTCGATAAGACTCAATGTCTAGCAGTTCTCCGAAGAATACCCGTCTTCGCGGTACACATTGTTTGGCACCATTCGATTCCATCGAAACTTCTCTTTCTCTTTCCCCTAAAGACACTAAAAACGACATCGACAACGGAGACGTCTTTGTTGCACACGTGTGTTGAGAGCGAGCGCGCGCTCACTTCAACTGTAATAGTTCCACAGAATCCCAAAAGCATTTCTACAAAATATTCGCAACCCAATATATCGCGCGGTATACACACACACACGGACCGCTTAAATAGTAACCAGTTGTAATTTGCGCGATGTTTCGGTCTTGTGATTTGATCTTTACAAGAAATGAAATTTTATTGTATAAATTGTATGCCATGATCTATGCTGGTGATCGTTTTCTTTTCATTTCATTTCATTTGGCTCGGACTGTCTTTGCTCTTAACACATAACGCAGCCAGTTTAGCACTGTTTCGCTGAAACTAAGCCATCGCATTCATTTTGTATCGTATCGTTTCTTTCGTGAAGCGTTAATTCAATATGAATTTAAATAAAAACACTAGAAGAAGAAAAAAAACATTTGAAACAAAAACATTTCTGAATGACGAAACTTACAAAAGAGAAGAGTCACTCGACTCTCTTCAAGTCAAATTCGTTTGCAACGCACACACACACACACACACACACACAGAGAGAGAGAGAGAGAGAGAGATAATGCCTGATTTCTGACTCTTTGTATACTGTTTTTGTTGCTGTTGTGTTTTTCCCCCTGTATTTCAGCCGCAGTGGCACAGATCATGAGCACTTTTCGAACGAGATTCTTTTGTGTTTTGTGTTGTTTATTTTTTTTTCTTGTTCTTCCCTTATGATTGTGCTCCGTCTCTTTCTCTCTGTGTGTATATTATTTTTCGATCGGCTGTTATATCGTCGCTTGAACATGTTTGCTCTTGAAAAGTAAGCCCGTTTTTCGTGTACTCACGAATGGCCAAATTCCTGTTTACAGTTATGAGGCGCAAAAAAATGGTGTTGTGGTATCAGCATTCAACGCGGCGGCTACCTTTTCTTCCGATTTCGACAATGTATGGCTTGGGTAATGCCAGTAGTTCGAGATGTGTGTAACTAAGCCGGCAGATTAAAATCGCCAAAGAACGCAATGCCTCTTACACTCTTTGTTTTTGTTGTTGTCGTTAAGGAAAACACTTGAATACATAAATTTTCGGCGCGGTGCTTAATTTTCAACACGAAACTTTGTCTGGCCATCAACCATTCGATACGACCTGCCAGATAATCTTCGACATTTTTCTTCCTTCCAATTCGGTTGATACTGAACGCAACAATTTGAACGCGCTGATCTCGTGATACAGATGAAACTTAATTAGCATACTGTGCTTGGTATCGATATGAGTCACAAGAGAGTTCATGCACTTCTCTCTCTCTCTTTCTGCTGATTCCACTTTAGAATCGGAACGATTGTGGATGTTGCGTGTTTCATGCATTATTACGGTCAATTTGGTTATTTGTGCTAGTAAAGTTGAGCCGCTACCCAATAAAAATACTATGAACCGTTTGCAAATATCGGCCATTCCATTCGTTTTTAGTTCTTTTTTTATTGTTTTTTTTTATTTTCTTTTCCATATCATTTGATGTCGCAAAACTCGATGCTATATTTATCGCAAAAGCAGAAGGAGCGTCACTTTTGAAAAGGCTTTGAAATTCCTTTCGGAATTTGCATTTAGCACCATTTTCGTTGGAAGAATTAAGCGATGGCAAGAATAGTATGATCTCGCTCTCTCTCTCCCTCTCTCTCTCTCTCTCTCTCTCTCTCTCTCTCTCTCTCTCTCTCTC